GGAATTGTGTCTGCCCACATTTGGGGGATTTGGTGATCAGCAGCTGCTTTCCTAGAAAAGCAGGATTTTTGGGTGCAATGAGCTCCTTGGGTCTCTGTGGCCACAGGGTTGGTGTTTGGGCAAGCTTGCCCTGCAATCCACCATCCTCCTGGCCAGCTCATTCCAAGCCATGGCTCACAAGGGGGACAGTGTCACCAAATGACCCCATGTTGTCCCCAGCACCTTCAGCTGACACATCTCCCATGGCTCTGATAGTCCCAAACCCCTCAGAACTGTCCTTATCCTCTCTTGAACCTGACCAGGCCACTTTCAGATGTGGGGCAGCTCTGGCTCTGGCCCCGCCAGAGTGCCCAGTGCCCTCAGCTGCTCACTCAGCCACATCTGGCTGGACACCCTGTCCCTGCTGTCCACGCTGAGGCCGGACAAGCCAAAGCCAAAGCCAAAGTGACACTGAGCAGCTGGGAGAAATGGCCTGCTCAGGTGAGAGGAGATGGAAATCTCCAGCGTGGTTGGGCACTGCTCTGGGCTCCCTGATGCACGATGTCCCAGCACACGGCAGGGCATTGCACCAGGTGGGCTCTGAAGGTCCCTTCCCACACAAACCATCCTGTGACTTTGGGATTCTTTGTCCCTTCAAATTCCCCACCTTTGCCCTGGAAAGTTCCCTCCCTGTGTCCCCATGCCCCTCACTGGGGCACTCTGTGAGTGAAAGCACCACACTGACAATGGCTTCAGAGGGCTTCTTTTATTAGTAGAAACTGGGGGAAATGCCCTTGGAGTCCAGGTACCAGCTGGAAAAGGGCTTGGCAATCTCAGGGGAGCATTGGAGGTCGGGGCCACCTCGCAACAGCCCCAGCTGTGTGCCACTCTTTGAAAATAAAGAGGGGGCCACAAATCTGCAGCTTTTCCAATGGACTTCCCAGCAGAGCAGATGCTTCTTCCAATGAGGATATGGCATCTTCTGTTTCTCTGGTGGTCACCACCATGGCCGGTGTCAGTGCCAGCGCTGGGAGAGCGGGTCAGCTGCCACGGACTGGGCAGTGTGAGCGCCACGAGAAGAACCTGCGATGGTCAGCGACGGGGACATCTTCTGCTTCCTGACAGCAGCATCTGTCCTGCAACAGCAGCTGTCCTTAACACCAGGGATCATCCCAGGGGGACACGTGGGCCACCAACCCTGAACCCCCGGAGTCTCTGCACAGAGGGATGGGATGGATTCCCTCCTTCGGCATGCAGAGGGATATTTGCCCACAGTTTAGGGAACAACCC